CGATCATCATCATCTTCTTCTCGATGCAATGGGAACTCCACGTTCGCCGGCGACAGATTTCTTCGGAATTTCGAAAACAGCATGCAAAGCATACAAATCCCTCGTCACCAAATTGCATCCTCTTTCTTCTCATCGCAAATCCGAATCCCACTCCGACGCCGATTCCGTACGTTCTTTCTAATCTCCTCCCTAGAATCTGAAAACTCTGTTTCGTAAAATCAAATAAATTCCAGATCTTGAGAATGTAACGAATTCTAAAATGTATAGGCGATCAACGGGAGATATCTTGAGGAGAAATTCGCGGAGGAGGATGATCTGATCGCTGCTCGGAGAGGTCTCCGATTACAGAGCATGGACGATAGCACCGTCTTCAAACGCCGATCTTCTCTTCTATCAAACTCAAGTAGCCGTCGTAGCCACACGCCGCAAGCTAGACCGACCTATCTCTCCTCCTCTTCTTCTTCCAATCGCCGATCTGCTTTCTCAAGAAGCACAAGCCGTAAAGATGAAGGAAGCAGCCACGGCGTCGGAAGAAACCACGTCGGTCTCAAATCACGGCCTGTTTCGAACAACGCGAGCCCGAAAACATCACCTTTCACAAGCCCGAGAGAGAAAGAGCAAACCTTGAGCGATTTGTTTGGCCCTGTACATGAACTAACGTCTCCTCCAAGCTCTAGCCCTATAAACGGCGTGAAGTCGTCTCCTACGTCTTCGATTTCGAAAAGCGTTAGCAAAAGAGATAAAGACGATAGATCAAAAAGCGTTAGCAAAAGAGATAAAGATGATAGAGGCTCAGAGACGTCGACTTCTGTGCCGTTCTCGAAGAGCACGAGCACTAGACAATCGGTAAAGGATGGGGTTGGGTCAATGGGGAAGAGTATAAGCCGGAGGAGCACAACGCCAATCGTTTTCTCGCAGTCAACACCGCCGAAAAAACCTCCGGCTGTTGAGAAAAAGCTCGAGTGTACGTTGGAAGAACTCTGCCATGGCGGAGTCAAGAACATCAAGATCACTAGGGACATCATCACCGATGAAGGGTTTGTCTCTTTTGCTCTTGATCTCAATTTGCATTTCGGTTTTGTTGGGCCGTGTCCAACTCTTCCCATTAGTATGATATTTGTCCGCTTTGGTTTATATTTGGTTTAAGTCGACAATCATTCATTATGTTCCTATATGAAACAGATTGATTAAGAAACAAGAAGAAACGTTAAGGGTGAACATCAAACCGGGATGGAAGAAAGGGACCAAGATTACGTTCGAAGGAGTAGGGAACGAAAAACCGGGATATCTCCCGGAAGATATCACATTCGTGGTCGAAGAAAAGAGACATCCGTTGTTCAAAAGACGCGGAGATGACATTGAGATTGCGGTCGAGATTCCTCTTATAAAGGCTTTAACGGGATGCAAACTCTCGGTGCCACTATTGAGCGGCGATACAATGTCGATATCTGTAGGAGAAGTGATCTTCCATGGATACGAAAAGGCGATTAGAGGTCAAGGTATGCCAAATGCTAAAGAAGAAGGTAAACGAGGGGATTTGAGAATAACGTATTTAGTGAATTTCCCGGAAAAATTGAGCGAAGAACAACGGTCAATGGCCTTTGAGGTTTTGAAAGATTGTTCTTGGGCATAAAAAGGTTTATAATATGTATGTATGGTTTTCACTTCATTGTACTTTTTAAAATTCTTCTTTGTATATAAGATTCCTACGAGGTGACACTAATTAAATTAGGCTGTTTTATGAATGTTTTCTTCTTAATTAGGGTGAGCTGTTATTATATGATTCTTGATTGCTGTGAATGATATACAAATTGTCTTTTGTTTTCTGCATCTATCTCTATTGTCGTCGTTGTGAGCCTAAGTGCATAACTGTTCGTATATGTAATAAAACGTGCAATAGAGTATTCAACGACCGCATAGCGCAGTGGATTAGCGCGTCTGACTTCGGATCAGAAGGTCGTGGGTTCGACTCCCACTGTGGTCGCTTTCTTCAACATTTTTGGGATATTTAATTTTTGGAGTTTTTCTAAGCTGCATGACTAATCGTTAATCCGTTATCTCCATTATTATCTCATTGATTCAACAGAAACTGTATCTCAATGTTCTTTTTCTGGTGAGCTTTTTTTATTGTAATAAAGAGTAACAAAGTTAAATCAATGGCTACAGATTCATGAAAGAGTAACAATGAAACAACAGTTGATACTCGGTTTGTAGATTTGGGTCTCAATATCTTTAGCTACTACAAACAAAAGCAGTATTCATTAGATACTTACCCATCGCATGATAAAGAAGAAAGCAATTCTCTCTGAAGAAAGATGCCATGTCTCTAATGTTCCCGAAACTCCATAGAACCTTTTATTTGACAGTTGAGAGACCGGTCACAGAAGTTTTAGCATTTTCAGTCTTCCTTCGTGCTCTGCATCCAGCTTCGGGGGAGTGTAAGATCCGTGAAGATCTTCCACAATGTACTCCTTTGTGAGCTCTCGCTTTGTGAGAATATGGTAATGTCTCTGCCATATCCTTTGAACAGCCATAGTAGCAGCAAGAAAACCATAAGCTAAACCAAGAATGGCGAAGATAACGACAAAGACAATAACAAGAGCGAAACAAGCTTCCATTGATGCAGGGAAACAATCCAAGATACCCCATCCGTAACAGCAGTTCTGGCACCCAGCCATCCTCGGGTCATTACCATTGAGAGAAGAGCAATGTAATATGAGTCCAAGAAATCCAATCAGCACAAAGAAGGATATAACCCCTAAGAATTCACGATACACCAAATGTTTAAACGCGTGTTAGGTTTCTAGATTCATGGTATTCCAAAGGAATTTTAGTTAATGAAACGAAAGAGAGATGGAATACCGATGCAGTAATAAAACGGGATGGGATGTTTTGACAATATACGATCCCAATCATCGTTGAAAGAGTTGCGAAACTCTCCGTCTTTGTCCATCATGTATGCAAATCCAGCCATCACAGCTATAACCTAAATTGTCAACAATCCAGTAAGATTCTTACAAATCTCTATAGGAATGGCAAGTCAAGAAAACAAAACCAATCACAGTGAGCAGAATAAACAATTTGCGGTCATCAAGTTCAATTGTCAAGATGCAACACCATGTGAAATTGTGTCAAGATTCGAATCTAGATTCACTCACAACAGACAAATTACCCACAAGATCTCATATTAAATCCTTTATCATCCTAAAAAAACTGCATTTATACTAAGAACCATGGAGTAAAGCTGAAAGAGACGGTCACAGACTCAGGGAGAGAGAGAGAGATATATAAAATACTCACAGTCTGCACAGCGAAGAATACCAAAAGCACATCTCTCGCAACAAAGATTCTGAATTTGACTTTTCGACGCCAAGAGTTGTTATCCTCAAAAGGTTCGACACGAAGATGAAACTGTGCTTTGCAGGTTGTACAGTGAGAGAAAGCAAAACCTTCTTTGACGGATCGCCAATGATCGAGACATGACCGATGCACGAATTGCTGAGTACCTTTGCACATACAAGGTGATATCAATTCATCACCTAACAAATCGCTATCGTTCTCCAGACAAATACGACAACAAGGAGATGAACCACTCTCCAAATCTTCTTCAGCATCATTTATCTCATCGGAATTTCCTGCTACCAC